ACCGAATATCTAGATGCCCCCTCGGATTCTCTAACGCATCGACAGGACAACTGGATCGGAGCAATTTCAGTCATTTTTTCATCAACTCCAACCCCCACTGCCACAGTTTCTAAACAGATCTCCAGTATCCTGTACCAGACGGAGAGATCATTGGAGTCCGTCCGCCAGCATTGGAGTTCGTCGGAGTTGGTGTATGTCATGTACTCGAAGCACTTTCGGATTGATAGCAGACGCTCGTGTCGGAGGAACTCCAGTGAGAGCCTTATTGGAAACTGGAGCTACCATCAACCTTATCCGGAGCAATGCTAACAGCAAAATGACCAATGCAAACTGGCTTTACAGCAGACGTATGCCCAGGTCAAATCATCTCTTGCACCGCTCCTCTGGATTTCATAACATTGGCTTCTTTAGTTGCAATTTGGGGGAGGGGGCGGTTCACCGAGTTTGTCAATTTTTAGTTTCTGGCACAGGAGGGACTACATCTTCGAAAATTGAACAGTTTCTGTTGTTTGCTGTACTACCTAAATTATTGACTAATCGATCTTACGCTCAGCTTACCATTAGCCTTACTATACGGCATGCAAGTCCAATGATAATACATTCTACGTTTAATTCTTTTTTTGCCGAAAATGTTTTAGAATTACCAAACCTACATTGGATGCCAAAAAGTATAGGCCTCTAATTTTGACTCCCGAATCGAGATTTTTCACTGAATTTGAAGCAAGATTTGAGCGATTTTAGCGTTTTTTTAGACAATTTAAAATGCATCATTGGTAAATGAATTCCATTGAAAAGTGCCACAAAAAGTTTTTCGCGGTTTGCATCGGAATGTAGATATGGACTGGCACAATAATTTGCTTGGTTGCAGAAATGAGTCGGAGTTGGTGTATGTCATGTACTCAAAGCACTTTCGGATTGATAGCAGACGCTCGTGTCGGAAGAACTCCAGTGAGAGCCTTACTGGAAACTGGAGCTACCATCAACCTTATCCGGAGCGATGCTAACAGCAAAATGACCAATGCAAACTGACTTTACAGCAGACGTATGCACAGGTCAAATCATCTCTTGCACCGCTCCTCTGAATTTCATAGCATTGGCTTCTTTAGTTGCAATATGGGAGAGGGGGCGGTTTACCGAGTTTGTCATTTTTTAGTTTCTGGCACAGGAGGGAATACATCTTCAAAAATTGAACTGTTTCTGTTGTTTGCTGTACTAACTAAATTATTGACTAATCAATCTTACGCTCAGCTTACCATTAGCCTTACTATACGGCATGCAAGTCCAAAGAAAATACATTCTACGTTCAATTCTTATTTTGCCGAAAGTGTTTTAGAATTACCAAACCTTCATTGGATGCCAAAAAGTAAAGGCCTCTAATTTTGACTCCAGAGTCGAGATTTTTCACCTAATTTTAATCAAAATGACCGGTTTAAGCGGTTTTTGAACGGTTTATCGAAAAAAAAGTTCCGCAAGATTTGAACGGTTTTGAGCGGTTAATCTGAAAAAACCGCTCAAAAACCGTTCAAACCTTGCGCGGTTTTTGAGCGGTTTTTTTTGATAAACCGCTCAAAACCGTTCAAACCTTGCGCGGTTTCTTTAGATAAACCTTTCAAAAACCGCACAAACTTCTCAAATCTTGAAAGATTGTCTAAAAAAACCGCTCAAACCGCTCAAATCTTGAGCGGTTTTTTGAGCGTTTTTTTAATATATAATAAAAAAATCGCTCATAGATATAAACAAAGATACGTACATACATCTATACACACATACATACATACATACATACATACATACATACATACATACATACATACATACATACATACATACATACATACAGACATACATACATACATACATACATACATACATACATACATACATACATACAAACATATATACATACATACATACATACATACATACATACATACATACATACATACATACATACATACATACATACATACATACATACATATATACATACATAGATACAAACATACTTACATTTAAAAATGCATACATACATACATACATACACAAACTTACATATTTTCCAGTGGTTATTTTGCTCGAGCATTTGAAAAAAGTCGCTCACATTGTTTTTGTTAGTAATTTAAAAAAGTACAGCTGTAATTAAAAAGTTTTTGCCAGTTATTTATTTATAAATGCAAAATGTCATTTTTTTCCTTTCTTAGCAAAATTTTTTTCATCGTTTTGCTATTACGGCTCTAGCCATGGAATCAATAATTAGTTTCTACCCTCAAAGTTGTTTTCAAAAGATGTTTCAACCAAGTCCGTTGAACTTTTTGGATTTGCTTCCACAGACAGTAAAATAATAGTTTCTAATTTGTTCAGCTTTCATTGGAAAATGAATTCCATTGAAAAGTGCCACAAAAAGTTTTTAGCGGTTTGCAGCGGAATGTAGATGTGGACTGGCACAAAAATTTGCTTGGTTGCAGAACTGGGTTCGGCGTTGTAGTTCTTTTGTCACAAAAAATCATAACTGATATCAAAACACAGCTGGCGACAGCTTGCCTCGCTTTGCTACGCTCGGCTCCACTGCGCGTGAGTTAGGCACGATTATTTCCCAGGAGATTTTTCTTGAAAATCGTTTTGGTCTTCTTTGACGCCGGTTTTTGCCGCAACAATCTTGCTTGAAGCTTTGCTCATGGAATTGTTTTTAATAAGCCCCATTTCAATTATTTGTAACTCAAATTCAATTTCGACTTGACCTCCCCCCAAAAACACGCGCACACACACAAGCACATACACACATACACATACCCCACATACATACACTTTTTGTATGAGGAGTTGGAGTAACTGTAACGATGTGAGCATTGTCACAAGTGCGGATGGGGGTAAGCTTAGCTCAGTGAGATGAAAGAAACAAAAAACTTGTCTAATTAATGAAAGTAACATTTCATTTTTGATTTTAATTAAATGTGATAGAAAGCCCAAACTAACTTAAGTAGTGGAACCTGATCCAAACTATATATTATTATTGGTTATAAATTAGATATTTTATCCCTGTGAAATATTAAAGACTAACCAATCACACTCCATCTAACTAACAACCCACTTATTTGTAAGTGCTGAAATTACTTGTAATTTCAGCACCAGAGTATATTGAATTTAACTTACAAAATAGTGGCCTTTTCCAAGAGACCGACTTGTAACAAAACCAGTATACTCTAGATCTATTGAGACTAAGAGATATAAGAGTACGATTAAGATCAGTATTAGACTAAGAAGTTGCACGAATCTATCCTGCCGAAAATAAGATAGCGTGATGAGCAGACGGTGTACCTTATCTGAAAATACTCTATGAGTTAGACATCCATCCCAACTCATCTGGTGCGACCATAAGTCTCGAATAAGACCTTAAGGAACAAAATAGCTTAGAAATAACCAAAAATAGATTAGACTTAGACAAAAAACATTCTCAAAAATGTTACACGACAATAGTTTAACTGAATTGTCTCTACGACTCATTAGATCAGAGCCATTATTCCGAACGATACGAGAACTACACGGTATTGGAAAAAGACCTCGGACAAGAGACGATATACGACTACAAAGAAACATAACCAAAAGTTTCATGGTCGTACGGCAAAAGCCAACACAAACTTTTATATTTAGAGTTTTATTAGCTACTTTATGAATTTAGGTTTTCAATTGCTAACATAGTATCTTGAAGAAAAATCTTCACCGACAATTACAGGCGTTACAACAACACTATGTTCATATTTAGGTTCAGACTTTGCAGACTCATGTTCAGACATTGCAGACTTATGTTCAGACTTTGCGGACTTATGTTCAGACTTTGCAGACTCATGTTCAGACTTTGCAGACTTATGTTCAGACTTTGCGGAGATATTTTCAGACTTTGCAGACTATGTTCAGACTTTGCAGACTTGTGTTCAGACTTTGCGGAGTTATGTTCAGACTTTGCAGATTTTGACCTGCGAGGCGACTAGGAGTTTTCGGTCCCCACGCGGATCGATTCAGACTTATTATGTCTGAACATAAAACCACGACCCCGACCCGGGTTTCTCTCGGACCAAAGTAAGAAAAATACTTAAACGTCGCAGGGGATCAGTAAAATTCAGAGCTGCATTGTTTATCTCTCTTGCCATCTCCAATCAGTATGTTAAAATGACACAGACCCATTACTGAATTTCTTTGAAACACTACTGAAACAGTATTGATTTACACAGCGAGAGCAGTCCAGGCAAGGCGTCTGTCAACAATTTGTTGTTCCCACCGATGAAAAAGGGAAAGATAGGTGTATTTGGGTGTTTTAATTTATTCTGTTTTTGTTCTGATCATTGAAAATGGGGAGGAACTCTCTATTCGGTTGTCTTTTAGTTTTTTTTTCAGACAAAATCAGGTACCACAAACAACCATCGGAATGAGTTGAGTGATATATTATCATAAAGCTCTTTCAGTCGTGACTTGAACGATTTTGAAGTTATTTGAAAATTATTTCCCAATGTCGAGAAAAACCGGTTTAAAATTTTCAGTTTTTGTCTAGTTTCGAGCAGGTAAAGCGAGCGAGCAGGCTTACAATAACTTATTTATGGTGATATTAGGTGTAACTCGAGTAAAGTTAGTTTTTGGAGTTTGTTTACGCCTTTTTGGTAATCAGAATTTAAAAAAACAAGATTTCAAAACCAAAAAAAATCTACAAAAGTTTTGAAAAAAAAACTTGGGAAATTTTTTTTTTTGATTTTTTCCTCAGATATATTTTTTTCGTTTTGTTTATTCATTTGTCTAAAAAACCTGGTTCCACTTTGCATCTATTTTATTATGACTGTCGGATATGCCTAAATTCTAGAAAAACTTTTATTGTAATAATTAAGACTATGGGCGGAATATTCTGGGCTACCCGCACACAGCAACCGGCTATCCACACAGCAACCGGCTATCCACACAGCAACCGGCTATCCTTCAAATTGGATTTATTTGCTTTGATATCAAATTTTTCTTACCCAGGATGAAGAATGACTTTTATGACCTCTTTTTCTTCTGGATTTGCTTCAGTGTCTGAGAAGTCTTGCACTTGCACCCGAAACGCACCAGCTGAAACTGAATCAACTCTTATTGAAGGCAACTTTTATTGGATTCGAATCACAACTGTCATGGCTCAATAAAAGCTACAACTGTGAGGGTTTATTCGGCAAACATCTTACACTATAAACGTTCCCACTTTATGAGAGTGGTTGAAGCAATTAGAAAAAATGGCTGCTAAACAGGAAAAACCACATAGTGCTGAGCAGAAAATCTGAAATCTTCTTTTATTTTTTTTTCTTGAAAAAGGTTGGCTGAGCGGTGTTATTTTCCTCATTATCATTTGAGGATCTGTATGATGCCATGACATCACTTTTACTCTCAGAGGTCTTCCTTTTCAGGTCGTTCGTATAAAACTTTATGAAGGAAACTTTGCGGTCAACATGAGGTACCCGGGTTGACCAAAAATGCTTATCATACAATTCTCATAAATGGGAAACTGCTTGTCATACAATTCAATTCAATTCCATACGTAAAGAAAAGTGTATAAAATCTCTATAATAAACATTTCCCATAAATGGAATATATATGTGCTCGGGGTGTTTTTTTTTTCTCCAGATAAAGTTCGACTTTTTAACTAGCTATTTTTAACAAAAAAAATAGTTTTTTTAAGTTTCGCTTTGTTTTTAGTTTTTGTCACGACACCCAACAAACAAATAAGAAATCCGTGGTTTAGACGGCATTAATATTGCTAATCAATGTGAATTTTGAGAAATTTGAAAAAAAATTGATAGATGTAAAAGTTGGTAGAAACTGAAAAAGTCCCCTATTTTCCCCCAAAAAAATCCCTAATAACGCTAAAGGGTGACAAAATCCAGAAAAGGTTGCTTGCATCAAAGCATTTTCGAGAGAGAAAAAATTAAACGAATTTTCTATTTTTTTTACGTTCTTGATTGCTTCTCCTTCACTTGGATTTGAACGGAGTTGCTTTCGCATTTTATTCTCATTCCTTGAAAAATATGCCACCAATATATTTGAAGTTTCCAAAAACTGGCTTGAAAAATTTTTTTGAAAAAATTATTCCTTATAGCGAAAATGCTTGTCATACAATTTTCATATCTGGTAATCATTTTTTAAAATTTAAGTCAGTTTTTTTTCCGTTACCAGCCTGTTCAACTGCTGTTGAAAAGCCGCAAAACTTGTTTAATTTTAATTTCTATTGTTTTCGAAAACTCATGAAAATTGTATGACAAGCACTTTCTCCCTAAACTTGATGTATGGAATTGTATGATATTGATTTTTGTTGTATGGAATTGTGCGATAAGCATTTTCGGTGTATGAAAGTCAACCCGGGTAATTTTTATAAAAGACGGAAACCGATTAGTCTGATGATCAGTGTTGTCATTATTTGCGCTTTGCAAAACCCGAGTTCACACCAATGCCAGAAGAAAAAACTTTCATTTACAATTTAAACACTTAGTCTGTGAAAAAAGCTTGTCATAATCTTTTTCTTAAAACAATTTAGGAAAAAAAGTCTGAAAAAGAGTTTGTTTTAACTGAAACTTGTTCATTCAAAAGTTTCAAATTTACTTAAAGACGCTGTTTCGGTTATGTGCTTCATTGTTTTTTGTTAGTTGACAGCTCTAAGTTTGTCCAAAACTTTTGTGAAGCTCATTTTTTTAAAATTTATTAAATAAGACAAACTCAAACTTTCAAAAAGCCTCAATCGACTGATCACGAAAAAAAAAACGATTTAAAACCATTACAGAAAACAATTACGACTAGCTCAAATATAATTCTATAATTTTAGATGCAAATTAAACAATTTTTCAGGTTATACAAAATGCGAAGAAAAATGAAGCTCAAAATTTGTTAACTTCATTCTTAACAACTTTTCAGCAAACCTTAACAACTTTTTTTGATCGGTTTCTTGAAATTAGGTAACTTCATGGCACCCAAAACAACATTTTAAATCACTCTTGAACTTAACTTTCCCATACAGGGCTAGTTTTGTGCAATTGGTTGTCGAAAAGCTAAATTTTTTTTTTTCGACGAAGTTATTTACAAAAAGGAGGCTCAAATTTGCGAAAAAGGCTGCCAAGTCGTTTAGTATGAGCGCTCAAAAAATAGACGATCGAACTCAAAAAAACAATCGCCGACTTTTTTTCTGGAAAATCGCAAGGCCAAACTGTTCCTTGGACGTACGTAAGATACGGTGAGTGCAAGCTCCTGGAATCCCTAGATAAATAAAAAAAGATGAAAACTTTTTTCGGCAGGCACAATCAGAGGAAACACATGAACAAAAAATAATTGAAGTAGAAAGTATTCTTGCTGAATCCGCTCACAAAATGTTCAGTTTGGCCTTGTAATGTTCTTACAAATTCGAAAGAACATTACTTGGCCGAACTGAAATTTTAGGAAGCGGATTCAGCAAAAAAGACTGTCCCCTTCAATTTCTTTTCGCACATGTGTTTCATGTGTTTCATTATTTGATCATGTGTTTCAATTTATTTTTAGTTGATAGAAAAGTCAAGAATATTTTTAGAGTTGTTAATATGAAAATGTTTCTGCAATCGTGCTTACACACCTGGAAGTTCAAGTTTTGTCAGAAAGTGGATCAACATAACAAAGGCTGAAAATGTTCTCCAAAAGAACTATCTGTTTCAAACTATCAGTTATGACTATCAGTCGCAAAATAACTTTGAGCAATCAATCAAATAAAGCTCTGAATGACAAACTGAAGCTTTTTGAAATATAAAAAATTAATTAAGTTACCATAAACTTCAACTGACTACCTGAATTGGTTTGAAACTGAGAATCATCAAAATCTGAAAAAAAACTCAATTTTCACACAAACTCACTTTGCGACTGTTCAGTATTTCTTATGTTTATTTGATTTCTACAATGTTTTCGTTGATTATCCTTAATATCAATTAAACTAGCAATCATTGGTATTTTCTAGTTTTTTCCCCAGATAATTTTTGTGGGTGTGTTTTCGATTTTGCTGAACTGTAAAAAGTAAAAAGTACCTATTTTATGCAGGTAATCGATTTTTCTGAACTGTAAAAAGTACCTATTTTATTACTTTTAGTATCTAACTGGGCTGCATGAAATCGATTTTCTATTTGTAGAAAATCTGTGTAAAAGTCTTTTTTAATCAATTGCAATCTTATTTTTGCCAATGCGGAAAAGCAGAATTGGTAGAAAATTAGCAGAAAATGAAAAAATGCATAAAAAAATGAAAAAGTGCATGTATATACAATGAGTTTTGGGCATAGTCGTTCAAACTTCTGTAAATCGGTATCTGTGAAATGTTAAGTTTTTCCCCCATCGCGTCTTTCATTTAACACTGTTCGAAAATTCATGAATCTGAAATCTGCTTTTATTGTAACCGGTCAGTTTTATTGGCCTTGTTTCAATGCTATTCACATCAAATTTTTAAATACTAAATTTAAAAACAAGTCCAAATTGTGTATTTTGTGAAAAGTAAGCTAACTCCGCAACAAAAACGCTCTGTTTTGTTCTTCTTTTGTTCTTTCATTTTTTAAAGATGCTTCGACAAAATTTTAACATGTTTAAACACTTGTCTCTGGATTTCAGAGACGTACAAACACCAAGTTGTGTTCCTATATCCAGTGCAAAGTTTGGCTTCGTAATGCTTGATTGCCTAAAAATCATTTTCCATCATTGGGTCTCCCCGTCCAAAGGGACTTAGCTATCCGCTCTTTCCTTCTAAATTTGTTTGAAAAGCGAAATTTAGAAATCCAGTGTTTTTTCTGACACTGGTTTTTGATCAAATTTGTCAAGTTGCAGATTGAACCACGGCTTCACAATATGATAAAATGCGTGAGCGTGCGAATGGTGGAAGAAAGGTGGTCTGTCTTAAATTTGGCAATTCGTTCAAAAAAGTGGAATTTTTTCAGAAATTTTGTCGAACTTTGTCAATCTTGGGTTTTCGGAGCAAATTTTTTTTTTGGGAGCTAAAAAAAATAGAAATTGGCTTTAACAATTATCTTGAAAAAGTCAACAGCTATTTTATAAAAGCTGCCCTGTCACAAAATTCCAATGCATGCATGCTACTGTTTTTGATGTGTCGTCCATGCCATATTGTAGTTCCTCTATTTTGGGCAGCATCAGTAAGCGGTCGCACGAAAAACTTTTTTTTTCATTCCTATCCTTGAATGGCGCTCGGCATTAAAAATTTTCAACTAAGAATGAACTTCATCAAGTATATTGACACTTTATAATGGAGCCCGATACTTTTTTATCTTACATTTGAAAAGAATCATTTTCGGAGTACAGAAAAATCGAAAACTGGAATGATAAAAAAGTGCGTGTTTGTATGTGGAGGGGTGGTGTGTGTACAAAGTTTTTAGGTAATAATTAATCCACCAATTGTTGATCTGCATCGTTCTTCAATCCCACTGATGCATATTGATTCACTTGGAGACTTCCCACTATCCAGTAACTCTCAATTGACGTTTTGAATGATTTAAAAATTCAGGTTTTTGACCAGAGTTAGATATTTTTTATCAGAAAATCACTCTAAAAATAAAAAATAAGGAGAAACAGGGTGTTTTCTTGCTCGAAGACGAAACGACTGAAAATTGACTTCTAAAATACTAACGCCTTAGCTGAAAAACACAGTGGCCTGAAGTCAGTACCCATCGGGCGCTAATAATTGTCCCCCCACAAAACCCAGATATCCGTTTCAGTCTCACGTAGAACAACCGAGGGGGACTGTTGAATCCATGGATTATGTCCACAATTCTTCCATTAACCATAGATATATTGCGATCATCTGAGCCAAGTCCATGACCATTGAGGGGTAATTCGAAATCAATAGAGACTGTTTTCGATAAACAAATAGCTAATATCACATTTAAAATTGAATGAAACTTCATTTATTGGTGACAATTTAATTTGCACAAACTTATAAAATTAATTGTTATATTTGAATAGTAGTTCTAACCGAGCTTCTCTAAGAAAAGAACAAATTTCAAACTTTAGTTCAAGGCAAATATTCTGTTGTATTTGATCGCGATCAAGATTTCTCTCGGATCTTTTCTTAACAGGCTGTATTCATTTTCAGATCACATGTCTGAAGGTCAAACAGTGAAATCATTAAATAATGAACAGCAAACTCTGGGAAAATTTGCTTTTCCCCATTAAGTTTGAACAGAGAATGGGGGGAGTTTGGAGTAGATTTTTTTTTCAAATTTTATCATGGCTTCTATAGAGTTTAGTAGAAGTGTAAACCCAGTTGTTAAATAACGTTTTGACGGAATAGAGACGGAATCTCTTTAGGTCAATTGAGCTCTCTCAAAAAACAACATTGTAGAAATCCATTTTTGCTGCATGTTCTCCTCCACAGACAAATTTTCGAAAAAAGAGGCCACTCATCATTTTTTTAGGAAGAGCTGGATGTAAGAAAACCAAACGGTTGGGAAAAAAATTAAGCGCAAGGTCAGTATTGAATAAATGAAGATAGCTCTAAACAATAGGAGATGTCGAAAAACAAAGATATTTCAAATAAATTGAGGATGTACCAATCAGTTGTGATTTTTAGAGAGATTGCTAAAATAAATATAGGACGACTTAGTTGAAGTAATGGACTGGTTCAAATTCAATTATTCTGACTTAATTTCTGTGAAATGCTATATTATTACTTTCCTTGACATTGTGTCGTCAAGTTCAGTCTTGATAATTTAAACAAATACGTACTATTTTGACAAAATAAGCCTTTTTGGGCAATAATCAAAAATTTTGATCAAAAAAGCACATTCATCTAAAAATGAGTATATTTTGGGGAACGAGTCGGTTTCAAAAAGTTTGTGCGGTTAAACAGTCCAAATTGGTAACCAGTTTGATGCCAAAGTCGGATTTAAAAAAATTATGTTTGACCAGTTGAAAATGGATGCTGTCGTGGTACCAAAAGAAAACAATAAATATAATACAAAGTTTATTTCAAGTAGTGCGATAACCCGCCAAGATAGAGAAACAATCATTGATAGAGCACCAACTTTGAGCAAGCGCAGAAGCTAATTCAACCTGCTGAAGCGCCACTGAGAACTTTCTCTTAAAAACTATCTTATATCGACTTGATTGCTTAATCTAAGTAACGTTCATACTGAAAAAAATAAATAACAGATTTAAAGAAAATAATTGTCAAAATCGAACATTTCCATTAGCTTGCATTTAATTGATATATTTTTACAGTATTATTTACAATCCAAGAAAAGTAGCAAAAAAACTATTATCAGACTTGAAAATTAAATTTTATAATATTTGCTTCATTTCAATTAGTACGATGTTGTTTTGGGTGTTCGCTATATAGCTCAGTTATTAAAAAAACTGCTCAAACCTTTGTAAACAAAACATTCAGTTGAAGTGGTCGCAATAATTTTAAAAAATATCTCTGATTTTAAGCATGAGATTGTCTTTAGACTGGTTAGGCTCGATTAAAATTTCTTTAGTGACATTCATATTGAAAATATTTAGAGAATTATATAGTTTTCGTTTTCGAGCAGATATTAATTTTTTAAGATTTTGCGTTAATTTGTTTGTTGATTTTCATTCTAACGCTTGTTTTGAAATGAAATTGTTCACGCTGCCATTTTCATGTTCTCGTCTTATTACTTTAGAAAATAATTTCAGCAGCTCATATACGTGTAACTCATTGATTGAGCAAATTCCATGAGTTTTTATATACCTTAGTTCTTGAGACAAAAAGCAATTCGAATTAAAAAAACATGTCGTACTTGCAAAATTTTTGAAGTGGTTTTATTGGCAACTCCGTCAACTCATACACCATATTAATATATATGTTGAATAATTTGCTTGTAACCCGAGCACAAGTAATTTTTTTAAAACCCGAACAAAAAAATGTCCTTCTCCAGGCATTTTGTTCAGATTTTTGAAGAAAAGCTATTGTGGTCAACAATATTGTCTTGAGCTCAATTTTATAAAAAAAAGTTAACCTGTTATCACTTTTGTTAAATAATGAGGGTGTAAAATTTGCTATTTTGACCAGTTTAAGATAAATAACGTGCTATCTGTTGCTCTCTTACAAGGCATGTAAGCAAAAAAACTTATGCACTAAAAAAAGAATCACAATCAACTTTTCAGTCATTTTAATTCAATAAGAGACGATAAGCACGTCCTTTGTAATTCACTGTTTCATAAAAAAAATGAAACAAAATTTTAATTCTTTTTGTGGTTAGTTTGTCCACTGGTCAGGCCAAACAATTATCATTTGACCTTAATTTGCAGCCAAAAAATTATTGCTTGCCTTTGTATACAAGCAGTCTTATCAATCTTTTGTATATTTTGGAAACAGTGACCGATTCGAAGCTTTCATTTCCTTAAAGCAGAATGTAGGGCGCAGATTGTTTCAGTTTACAAAAAAAAACAAAAAAGGTCGTGTAGGGGCAAACTTCGAAAGTTTCGTCTGAATTTTAAGACCTATGGTCTACATAAATGTTTTAAAAAATGGATAAAACGATTTGAAAAGGAAAAATTGTTTCCCGAATATTATTCTTCCACATTCTAATGCTCAAGTACAGAATGGAATGTTTCGCATATGCAAATTATTAAATAGACCATTTTGCATGGCTCAATTCAATTTGAACAACTTTAAAGGTGATTTAAATACAGGCTTACGCGTTATAATTGCAAAAAAATATCACAGAGTCATCAAAGTGTTAATTTTACAACTCAAATATTAAAAAAAGAATGATCACAAGTGGATAACTTTTGTACTTTTGATTTCAGTGTATGAAAAAACCTCCAAAAGTTGTATTTTAAAATCCTTCAACAATTGTTAGTTAAAAAATATGAACTGTCGGGAGGGCACCAGGAACAAAGTTTTTGTCATTTTCTTCGAAAGTAGTCGGAATATTGAGGCAATTTTAATAACTGAAATATTGTTACAAGAATGAAAAAAAACCTTGTTTTAAAAATCCAATATTTTATTTTACTTTGCTTTAGCAATTCAATTACTTTCACAATAGATTATCTCAAAAAATAAGAAATATTTAAAAGCTCGCCTAGTTATTGAAATTGTTCAAAAAGAATCTGTTTTTCAAAGAGAAACAAAATTAGAAAAGAAGTTCTTCTGAATTCAATTTATAAAAAAGTTCAAATTGTTTTTCTCTTTTTGAGTTAAAAGTCTACGAAGTAAAAAAATTACTCTGTGCGAAAAATTTAAATTGTTTCAAAACCAGTTACGCTTAGATGGATTTTTTAAAATGAAAATTAATTGTCTTGACTTCACTAGCAACCTGACTTCCATTATTTGAAAAATTCTCTGCTTTTAATTTATTAATTAAAAATTTTAGGCTGATTTTTCCCCTAAAAAGTGTTTATTGGGGTTTAAATATGACGAAGTTTTAATGTTAACTAAATTTAAAGTGAATTTCTACGCACGTGTAGTTTTCCGCCACGTTTTTGTAATTGGGAAAGAAAATTGTTTTCTAACAACTATTTTTCACACAAAAAAAATAGATTAAAAAAAACGGGGATTCAGTTTTCCTCAAAAAAGGGCTTCAAATTCCCTGGAAGCAGAAAACTGGTGGCAGCTTGGATCAGCTTACAAACATTGAAACGAGATTGCTCGTATCAAGGAGAAGCCCTGAATATCTCGACTGCATTTCGGGTCTATGATTTGAATGTCTGCTTTTAAAAATGAAAAAAAAAAGAAAAAAGAAAATAATTGGAAAACTTCAGTTTTTTTGAAATTTATCAACCCACACGCTATGGGAAGTACAAAAGGGTTTAATTATTCTTAGAAACACCAATTAGCATGCTTCAATTCAATTTGAAACTATTTCTAAGACAGATTAAAACCCCGCTTCAGCGTCAATAACAAGAACTATTTCCCTCAATAACTGTCTCAAATTTGTCAAATTGGCAACCTTTACACTCCCTTACTTCACAAACAAGATCACAGATGAAATAATTTGTAATTTCTGCACAAGTCATTAATACCTCTCCTGGTCATTATTACCTGTCCAAAAAGCATACACCACTCTCAGCACAAATATTCGTTTTTTCAGAAGAAGTAGTCGGGACAAGGAGGTAAGAGTTATGAATGAAATATTGTCTTTTAGAAATTTAAAAAAAAAAACTTTTTTTCTGTCCTAAAAATTTAACTTCGTTCCTGTATTTTTAATACCAAAACAATCAACTTCCACAATAGACTGACAACCTTATTGAAAAATTGAGAAGTGTAATTGAAGCACACCAAAAAAAATTATTGTTAATAAAATGAACACTTTTTTCAATTTTTGTCTGTTTTTATGTCCGTTGGGATAAATAGGAACCGACTAAGTAAAACAGTGGCGTATTTCAAAAATTTAAATTTTTTATCGAACCAGCAACGTTTTGGATTTGGTCGTATAATGAAAAATATTTGTTTTGACTTCAGTATCAGTTTCAATGGTTGAATAAATGTTTTTCGTTTTTTAATGAGCATTCATATAGCCGTTTTTTATTCAAAAAGATTTTAAAGTTATTTCAAAACGTCACTGTACGATTTTTCAATTGACCAAATTTCAAATGGAAAAAAAATACTCACATCTACTATTCCACCTTATTTTTGTCTTTCGGAAACAAGTTTGTCTTTCAACACTTGTTTTTCATTCAAAACAAAAGTTTTGTCTTCGCAAGCGCAAGGAAAAAATCGTGCAATGTTTTTGTTTTTTTTTTGTTTAAAACTTTCAGGAAAGTTTTTGTATTAGTGAAAACTTCTTTTTCTCCTTGATAAAAAACAATAGTACTTTTCTCAAAATGTTTCGGAAGGAAAACAGGTAAATTTGCCTATTTTGAAAAGAAAACCTACATAAACAACTTCTTTGTTTTTTTTTCTTTGTTGGTACTCTTCTAGGAAATTGCAGGCGAAATTCTTTTTTATAAATTTAG